CAGGCTTTTAAACGAGTTATATGCCATTGACCCAAAATGAGTGATCCGAACCGGACCTAGGTTTTAATAACACTGCTGAAAACATTAGTAACCATTCACATAATTAACTTTTGAAAAAATTGCAGCAGCAGTTCCTAATCTTTTTATTTTTTATAAACTTTATCTTAACCTTCATTTTATACCAGTGAAAGTTCCTAACTTTTCATAAATATGCAACTGAGGTTTATTTAGATGAAAACTGTCCAAAACACCGTCAGTTAATCGAAAAAATTAAGAAATCAACGTCCAATAAATATTGTCCAAAAAGGTATCAACATCCAATAAAATCATTGCTATAGAAGATAGCTCAAGGAATTTTTCAGATCAACTAATGGTGTTTTGTTCGGTTTCTGTCCAAATGAATCTTATGTACATATTTATGAAAGGTTACGGATCTTCGTGGGCACAAAATAAATGATAAGGTAAAGTTTACAAAAAATGAAAAGATTAAGGATCGCTACTGCAATTTTCCCTTAACTTTATTTCCAAGATCTTTTTAGTTAAAGTAAATTTCATTTTGGTCCCTACTTTATGCTAGTTTCTATTTTTCAAACCATACTTTGAAATCAATCCTTTCAAACTTTAATTAGATTAAGAGGATGTTTGTGGGAATTAAAATTAGATTTTTAAAATATTGTGATAAAAGTTTTTGAAATGTATGGTTGAAAAGTTATGGATTTCGTGAAAGATGTAATCAATATTGATTATTTGACTTTGGCTTGAACTAAAATCAGATTTTAATCAAAACCAAACATGAGCTAAATCAAGTCTCATAATAAGTAAGTCTATCCAAGCGAACTCGCTTGTCTTGACACTTTATAAGTTGAATAATGTTATTTAACATCACTTTTATTACAATACCAATCTAAATAGAATTGGTGATATTAGTTGATATATTACAATGAAATAAATCACTTAATTTTACGTCTCATTGATTCTATCACATAAAAACGTGGTGTTTGTCGCATTAATGGTGTTAGAAAGTATTATTGTATAAATTAGGGGCTTCTGGAAAAATTAGAATAGATTACGGATCCTTTTGTAATTTTTTCTGAGTTATCTTTAAGGATATATTCTTCGGCTAGGGTTTGGGAATGTGTTACTCTGCTCTCTCTCGGCCGTCACTTCTCTGCAGTTGTTCCTCTCTCTGTCTCTTGCGGCCGAGCCTCCTCCTTCTCAGGTTCCCATTGATTTCTTCTCTTCAATAATTTCGTGTTATCTGTATTATAATTTGATTCTTTTTCTGGCTAATGATTTAATTAGTTCCAATATAATTATTTCTGATGGTTTAGTTCATCTTTACTCTTATTTCTGTATTTGCAATTTTTGCAGTTTCTATCTTTTATATGTGATGCTGAGATTGATATTCGTATGTACCAAGTATTCTGGCATTTTGAATACAAAATGACCAGGGAATTTGTTTTAAAAATTCATATTAAATTGAAGCTATTTGCAGGGTCTGTTTTGTAGTTGAATCACTAGACATTGAGAACTCCATACCCGTTCTTGGTCGTTTGACTAATCACAAGTGGGAAGAACTCATTTTTTACTGCCCAAACACTTTCTAATTTTGCGGAATAATGAAGCAAACTTGTATCGGTCAATTTTTCTCTGAAATTTTGCATAAAAGAATGTTCTGTGCTGTAACTTCACTTTGCTCTTTGAAAAGATAAGCTAATATGCTTCCTACACTTTCAAATAACTGTTCTTTGTTATTACCTTTGACAATATAATGGATAAACCCAGGGTGGTGTTAATCTTACAGACATTGTAATTTGGAATACATCTCTTTTTTTTATCTAATAGCTTATTGTAATTCTTTCTTCTAAAAGCTTAAGTTGCTAGAGAATGTGAAACTTATTTGTACTCTATCTTCAAGAGAATCTCTTAGGTTGGGTTCCTTTTGTGGCATTTTTGGTAGATATGTTGATGAGACTTTAACTCAGTACATTTCCCTACTTAAATGGCTTGATGAACCATTGTACTTGAGTTTTTGGAGGAGGAAATTTATTTCTAATTTTCTTTGATATTTTTAAAAAGTTAATTTGCCAAATTAGATTGTTTTGCGGAAAGTAATGAATAACCAGCATCCTAGTTTGACATATTTGTCTAGAGATGCTGATATTTGTGTGTTTGTATTGCTGTGTTTATGTTTTTAAATGCTGAATTTTTGTATGAGGATTCGAGTCTATAAAATGATCAATTGTTTCATTTTTCCATAAACTGAATTCTTGTAAGAAAGGCTCGACAAAGCATTTTTGGGGCCATTGTATGGTATTCCCTATTTTTTTAAGACATGATGTTGCTTCCTGTTGGTAACTGTTTTGTTGCGTGCCAATTATATGTCATATTCCTTGACATTTTCGTTTTGTACTTATTATCATGATTGATATTGGTGGCAATTTGATGCTAGTAATCAACAAGTTTTCTTTGGATAATTCCGTGAGATCCATGTTTTCCTCTGTACTTTTGTTTTACTGGGTTCAATTCCATTCTGTTCATTACTATTGCAAAGATGTTGTCAGCTTTCTGTTTTATGGATAACCAAGAAATATGTTGTGAGGCAACGTGTTCAATTGCGAGGACAATCTGAAAATTATCATGATTATTTTCTAATTCTGCTTACACAATGCATTTGGCTTTACTGTTTAATAAACGTGTTACAATCTTTCTATTGTGATATGGAATGATTTATTGAATCTCCTGAAAAGTTGAATCTTCTTGCAGAATGGATTCACAAATCAAGCATGCCATCGTGGTGAAGATTATGGGCAGGACTGGATCTCGTGGTCAAGTCACCCAGGTGAGAGTGAAATTTATCGATGACCAGAACCGTTTCATTATGAGGAATGTCAAGGGACCAGTCAGGGAAGGTGATGTTCTAACCCTGCTGGAGTCTGAGAGAGAGGCCAGGAGATTGCGCTGATGGCTTTACTTGCAGTCTTTTTCTCTGCTTGAGTTTTTAGCATTTCAAAATTAGTAGTATCATTCCTTTTTGGGAATTCATACAAGACATCGAGGTGCTCGTGATTGTTGTTATGTTTTTCAATTAACACTGGATGCTTCATTTACAAGTTTGTGATGTTATGGTAGGTAAAGATGATCTGAGTACTTATTTATTTATGAGGGATTTTTGCAATTACTTTCTGATATTACTATCTTGCTCTCAAGGCCTTTAGTTTCAGAAAGTTTGTAGTGACATAATTGAACTGTGGTTTTCCACACATTGTTCTGCATTTTTGTTACATAGTTTTTCTACTGTCTCAATGGATTTATATCAAAAATTGGTGTCTATCTTCCAAGAAAAGTAGAAGAAAAACTGTGTTCCAATCAATCAGAGAATTATAACTGTAATCTTTTTATATGAAATTTGTTTAAAAGATAAAAAAAAAATGCTTTCAACAAAAAATAACAATAAAAATCATTTCTTGCTTGGTAGTGCTTTTTAAAAAAAAAAAAATTTCATTTGTTTATTTTTAATTGCACATTCTTCAATAAAATAATTTATACGTGAATTTATCACTTTTCTCTACATTTTAATTTTACATTTTTCAAAGAAATCAATTTTTACAATTTTTTTTTTTTAAATCTACAAATAGATTCAAAATTGTGTTCAAATCGGTTAGCTCTCGTTTGGTTTTAGTTTTGATTTTTCATTCAAAAAATCAATTTTTTTGACCGTTAATTCCCTATTTTGGTCGTCATTTTTGACTTTTTTATTTATAGGTATAATTTGCTTATCTTTTAATGATAAAAAAATCAATTTTTATAATCACTACTGAAAAGTAGAGAAGAAAATTTCATTGTTGTTGCCTCCAAAGAGGCTAATAGTGCATTAAGTGCAAGATTAACATTTTACTTGAGGAATTAAGTTGTACGGTAAAGTTAGTTTAGTTTGCCTCAACTGCGTTGCCATTTCAAGTATAAGATAAAACGAATTATTCTGTATTTTTCATATATTGAATTTGAAATGAAATTTCTATTAAAATTATTTTATTATAAATAGTTTACTATATAATACCCACGTTAATTATTGACAAATTGATTTTTGAGATATTACTGTGTGTATGAATATTGTAACTTGTAAGTGAATTTTTTTTCTTTTTTTTTTTTTTTTGGGGTGAAACATATGTTTTTTTATGCATTGTATTTGTAGTACTTGGTCGGACATATAAATCCCTTGTTTGGTATGGATTAAAATTAATATAATATCAAAATCATTAATTATTTTTAATCATATATTTTATGGGTTTCACAACTTTTAACCCATTTTTCATCAACTTTTATACTAAAAAATTTATTTTAATTTTCACCAATCAAAGGCAAAATATAAATTTATCTTTCCTATTACATACTGTCCATTTATAGTTATAAATAATATTTAGTCATATTATTTTTCTTTCAGAAAACATAAAATAACATCGTTTTCAAACCACAGAGTATATGTCATATCTAATGTCAAGAACATATAGATGCGCAAGTTTGCATTGCGTATCAAATTTTTCTTCATGAATGAGCTTTAGGATATAATTGCTAATCAAATTTGAAACACGAGACAAGAAATTCAATATTTTAATTATATATATATAAGTATTATTTGTTTTCATTTGCTTTTGTTAAAATAAATAACAACGTGATAAGTGTGATCTTACATTTGTTCGTTAAAAATGAATATTTTTAAGTTAATTTGATGGAATTATTGTCACAAATCCAAGTTATTAACTTATATAAATTAAAATCAGTTCTTCAATATTATTTAATTTGGTTAAATATCGTTTGCGTTTAGGGTAACCTTAATGTTGGACGGCTACTAATGGAAAGAAGCGAAAATCAGCCAAAACAAAAGAGCTAAAGAAGAGACATCGCTAAAGTTTTAACTTTTCAAAACTTTATTCGTATCAAGGATGGATAATTGAAGAGGAAATGGATCAAATTTGATGAAATTGGAAGTTGAAGGACTCTTGAGCAATGAGGTCTCAAGCTGGGAAAAAAATGAAAAAAATGAAATTCAAGGACCAAAGTAAAGAAAAACAAAAAGTAACACCTTGCGATCTTTGCAGGTTCCTACAGCAAACTTGCTATAGCCATTCCGAGGGAAAATATTTTGTTTCCCTTTTCGACTCCAATTCTTTAAATGGTTCAATTCAGCTCATTTTTAACCTACTCGAAAAACCTAATTTCGGGGTACAAATATTAGAGAGGACAAGAGGCAAGAAAAAAAAAACACATAATAGACGTTTTATTTTAGTGATCAAGTTTTTTGCGTCGATACCGTGAACCATAATATTTAGTTAGTTTAAGTTAATTATAGTTTTACTTTGAATTTTACTACTTTAGTTTTAAATTTTTATTTTCAATATTACAGTGTATCCTCAGTTTGATACAGAGAATATATAGAGAAGCACACAATAAACTCATGGGAGATTTAAAGGCTCCACCGGTTGTGAGGAATCAATCAAGCAAGCTTATCCAACATTTAGGCAGGTAATTGCTTGAATAGTTACAAATCTTCAGTCTATTTATTGAACCCTGCGACTCAAACAAGGATTGGGACAAGCAGGGGTCAATTCAAGAGTTTGAGTCAGCATGGGCGACCATTGACCATCTACCGTTGCCCGCAATAAAATATTAAAAGTCCTTTTGATATCTTTTTTTTTTTTTTTTGGGCAAAAAATGCATTTTGGAATGGTGATTTGATAGAGAACGCGTGACTAAAAATAAAGAAAAATTTTGAATTTACGTGTAATATTATTTTATTGAAGAACATATGAATGAAAAGAAGAAAGAAAAATGTAGTTTTAACAAAAGGGAGAATCGAACAAGGCATAAAGTATAAATATAACAATTATTTTGTTCAAACTGAATGTATATAATTCTGTTATAAGAATAAATAGAACTCATCAAATAACATTGTTGCCAAATTTTGTATAATTCAAAGGAAGAGTGTGAATTCAAATATTTAAAATTATTTGCATTAAAACAATCAAAACCTAACAAATATCATTTTGTTAAATATAGTAACATAATTCAAGAGGTACTATAATGGTTAAGTTTACCACAACCCTTGCTTGAGATCACAGGTTCAAATCCTCATTGTCCCTCCCTTATTGAATTTTGATAAAAATTATAGAATAAAAATAATACATAACAAATCCATTGACAAGAATTCGAACGTAGGACTTGAAATATGTTAAGGCTGACTCTCACCAAGTAAGCTACATGGGATGTTTGAAAATAAAGTTAATTACCAGAAATATAAGGTAAAAATTTAGGGTCCGTTTGACTGTAAAAATGGAATTTGAGTAGAAAGAAAACGAATTTCAGATAATTGAATTGCCTGAAAATTATTTTCTTAGAAATTGTAAATTATTGTGTTTGATTGATATAATTTTTCACGTGGAAAATGTTGGAATAAAAGTGATTTTTAGTGTTCGTTTGGCTTTGTTTTACCTGAAAATTGTCAATTAAAGGGATAAAATTTACTGGTATTGGGGATGAAATTTGTTTTCACTGCAAAAAAATAAAAAAATAAAAAAAATTATATATATATATTCAAGAAAATCATCTATCATTTCGTATTCGTTTGACTTTATTTTATATGAAAATTGTTAATTAAAGAGATGAAATTTATTACAATAATTTTTAAAATTTGTTTCAATTGCAAAATAATAATAAAATACGTCAAAATGTGGAATTTCATGGTGGGAATTGATTTGCTTATGTGGCAACAAAAGATGGAAAAGGAATTTCATGCCAAATTTGTGTCATCAAACACATAAAAGATGGAAAATGAAATTTACCATGGAAAATATAAGCCTATCAAACATGGCCTTAATCTATTACTAACAAATATATATATCCCAGGGGATCCAGCTTGGGCAGCCGCCCCTGAATCCGCCACTGGGGACAGCCCTTGTGATAGGGGGCTAAGGTGTTGAGTAGTATAATACATATTTATCTGGAATGGTGTTAAGAATCAGCCTACGAATATTCTTGGAATTATTGCCAGATGAAAAAAAGACTACAACATTAAACGCTTATTGAGGTTTTTAAGTTAGAATACATATGACCTAAGTCGGGACTCGAAAATTATAAAGCAAAAGCAAAGTTGTTAATTTATCGAATAATCATTTATCGATTTTTTAATCATTATTGTTAAATCTATAATAAGATTATGTCAGGATTGCGGAAATCCAAATTACGAGAGTTAATAGATTTTGGATGGTTGTACTTGTTTCAACGTCTATATTTATTTTTTACCTCATTGTTTTGAAATGACTAAAAAAAGTGCTTACAGATAAAAATGAAATAAAATGTTGAGATATAGAGTTAGATGAATTTACTTGGGAAGGAAATTTATGTTGTAACTTAGAACATGTTTGGCTACACTTAAAAATAAATAGAAGTTACTCTTAATTAATCTTTAGTGTCTAAACATTTATAGGTAAGTTAGTATTTTCTTAAATTTAAGTAGAAAAGGTTATCCATTTAACTTACAAAGCTACTCTTTGATAGAAATTAAGTCAAAGTCAATAATTAATTTTAATCATATATTTTATAAAATTCACAACTTTTTAGTCACATATTTCATAAAATTTTATCAACATCAGTTAAAAATATAATTTTAATCTCCATCAAATAAGAGCAAAATTTCAATTTTGATTATAAAGAAATTACACTGCTTACACTGCCGTTGTCTGAACCCATTAGATTGTGTAAAAATTGATTTCATTTTTGGAAATTATGTAGTTAAATAGGATAAAAGTTTTGAATTTTATTTTATCAAATGTGTAATAAAAAATAAGACAAACAAGTTGAATAAGTGGATACTATTATTTATGTGATTAAATTTGAATTTTGACAAATAAAATTTTATGAAAGATTCCGTTTCTTCCAACTATTGCATCAACTCCGAATAGATAGTGACACTATATAGTCTGTATGACGAGGGAGACTTAAAGCTAGACATTTCCGGCGACACAGATGGCAAAGGTCGAGGGAGGAGCCATCGCCGCCGCCAGCGCGAAGGTTACGTTAATATTCGTATACCCGATCAAATTATGCAGTGGAATTGCTCTTTCTCAAGCACCTATCTCTTCTACTGGTATGGAATATTTTCATTTCTTTCCTTTGATTTAATCAAAAAGGACTA